AATTTACTTGATTGTACTTAAATATTCAAAAAAAATAGTGATTTGTTTTATATAATATACACTATTGAGTCATTTTGCGCTTTTTTTCGTATATATAATTAAGTACAACACAGTAATACGATTTAAGGAACAAAAAAGGTCTTATATATATGTATAATAAAAAATATGCCGACTTATCGATTGTATTTAAAAAGATGTTTGAAATAACAAACGTGTATACTTTTTTTTGTTTTTTTTTACATGGAACTTTTTGTTTTGTAACATATTATGCTTTTAGACTAAGCAGATCCAAGTGTTATATGTAAATTTCAAAATTTTATAAGTATTTTAAAACTACAATACTAAGCTTTATTGTATTTAAATATATATATTTTTAATATTAATTTAGCTATATTTAATAAATATTTATAGCTATAACATTTGTCGTCCAGTGTACTTAGTGGTTAATGAAGGGAAAAAGATAACTAAGAAAAACGTGTTACCCGTTTGTTCGTACACTTTTCTCTTTATGGTTTTATGTGTTGCCATTTAAGGTTCCCCATTGCTTTAAATTAAGCATAGTAACACCTAATTTTACCATATATTGCTATTTAAAATGGAAAAAAATACGACTTCCGCTTAACAAAGTTGTGTAGGGTCTTACATTACAATTTAAAAACATTTAAAAATGGTATAACAAGTGCGAGCCACCAAATAAGTGACGAGAATGAGAGTTGGTTTTGGAAACCCATATGTAGCGTTGGAATAATTTTATTGACATAATATTTCTTTTGAGAATATGATAAGTAGTCAAATCTGTCTATCAGTTCGTTTACTGATCATAATACTGATTGTGCTAAATTAATTTTAATTGAACTTTTCTATGTTCTAAAATTATTTGAAACTAGGCACGAACCCGAACGGAGCGATGGTGAGTTGCGTTTCAGTGTTTAGTACAGATTTCTCAGAGATGAGATATTTTCCCGCAGTAAAAAGTATCCAATATGTTGACCCGGATAACCAGTATCATCATACTAAATTTCATCAGAATGTGTCTAGTGGTTTTAGTGGTAATGCGTTCCCAGACAGACAGACAAAAATTCTAAAAACTATAGATTCAGCCTCTGTATCGATAATAATGTCTATTTTAATAAGATTTTCCAAAAAAAAATAATGTACAGATTCGGCTTAGTTACAATTATTTTATTAAGTATATGCACATCTTTTTATATATATATAAAAGAAAGTCGTGTTAGTTACACTATTTATAACTCCAGAACGGCTGAACCGATTTGGCTGAAAATTGGCGGGGAGGTAGCTTAGAACCCAGAGACGGACATAGGATACTTTTTATCCCGTTTGACCGCGTTCCAATTTTTATGATAATTTAATTTTTGAATTTCTCTTAGTCCGGAATAGGTAAGTATTAAACCATCAGAATAATTAACGAAAAAAAATTAAAATTTATATGGCTTACGATGGCTAATAACTTTTTATATCTATTATATAAAACGTACCTAGCGACGAACCCGAGCGAAGCGAGCGTGAGCCGCTAGTATAGATATAAATGTTGAGTACTTTCCAATACACAAATGTATATTGAACTCCAAGTTACGTGTAAACAAGAAATAAGTCCATGTTTATTTATTTATTCAGTACAAGCCACATATGTATTACAAAAACGTTTGTGAATACTTTTATCTCTAACAATTAAGCCAATATGCACTATAACATTCAATGTCAAAGAACTTATGTAGTGTTATTGCGTGAAGTTACTAAATAGCGATAAATAAATACAAAGCAAGCTATATATATATATATATATATATACGACATATATATATATATATATATATATATTAGTGTTCATATATTGCTTTAAAAATATGTTATTTGCTTGAAGTAATTGGCATATCGACAATATATGTACGAGATAAATTACATTTCTTATACTCGTAATAGTTTAGCTTTATTTGAAAATGAGTGGAGATTGTGTGCGAATCAATTTATTTACGTGATGATAAGTGCTTTAAAAATTTCTTTTTGTTTGATTTTATATGTATTATACAATTATTATAAGGAAAAACGACACGAAACGTTTGGCTCAGTTCGTAGTGATCCTACTTGCTGTGCCAACGGTCGTGGGTTTGAGTCTCGCTGGGGGCTTTTATTTGAGTGATGATCACGAATGTTTGTACTCTAGTCTTGGGTGTTTGTATTTATAATATGTATGTATTTAAAGTTATATATGTGTAGTGTATCAACTATCTGGTATCCATAACACTAGCCTCGTAGCTTACCATGGATTATTTATTCGTTCATTCGTTAGTGCTAAGATTGGTATTGGTAGTCAGTAGTCAGTCAAGTAGTCATAATGTGTCTGGAATGAGTTCATATTTTTACGAGTTATTTGAATGGTGTTTTAAAATACGTTCTCATTGAAGTCGGTCAAAAGAAAATTCGACTTTTATCTTCTCACCCTAAAAATGCGATTTAATGTAACATAGCGTTTTATATTATCCGCATATCCAATATGTCTTACGACAAACATCGGTAGATAAACTGATACAACATAAATATCTAAAACTCATGTATAACTCTTTACAAGGTGCCGCTATCGACAACGCGGCCCTTTAGTTACGTTATGATAAACATTAATTTTTAATTCTAGTAGCTTTATCGGTTGAGTAAACTGCTTCGTCATACGAATGAATATAAGCAAAATATGAAAATATTCGGCTTCAGACATCAACGGCTAATCGCAATTTAACAAAATTTCAAAATTCAAATATTGTCATATTATAATCGTCTTAATGCTAATTTTTCGAAACGATCAATTTAACAAAATTTGTTTTTATTACAGAACTCATCTTTGCTTTGGCTCAGTTGCTTCCCCATACAAACTTTCATCCCAATTTTCTCTCCCTTAAGGGATTATTTCCGGGATAAAAACTATCTTATGTCCTTCGCAGGGTGTCCAACTATGTTCTTACCAAATTTCATCAAAATCGGTTTCGTAGTTTTGGAGCGTATTCGACAACAAACGAATAAACAAACAAACAAATCTTTCCTCTTTATCATATTAAGTATATATGTAACAAAATATATAATATATTTAACTAAGTCGAATCTGTACATTAAATATTTTTTAGAAAATCTTATTGAAATAGTTATTGTTAATGTTACAAAGGTCGAATCTATAGTTTTTAGAATTTTTGTCGAAAAAACCACTGGACAGATTGTGATGAAATTTGGTATGATGATAGCTCAATCCTACTATCCTATATCTATCCGGCTAATACTATAGCTATCCGGGTCAACATATAAGATACTTTTTACTGCGGGAAAATATTTTATCTCTGAGAAATCTATACCAAACGTTAAAACGCAACTAGGGACGAACCCGAGCGGAGCGAGGGTGAGTCGCTAGTAGTATATAAAACGTGTACCATTATAATAAAAAGTAAACCACTTCAAATCCGCGTTGTCATAGGTTGTTTTACATTTTGTTTCACCCAAAATAGCCTATATCGTAGCACTCATTTTTGAACGAATTGAGGAACGTCCAGTGCATCGTATATTCTGAAAGCTTTTAACGAGTAACAAGATTTAAGGACGAATGATGGCTCAGAGGCATTAAGCTTTTTGGTTATTTGCATTTTTAAATTCTAGTCACTCTATATGCAATTGCCTGGATTGTTCTCTTGTGATTTGAAAAATATATCTATCTATATGTGTACATATAATAACATTCCAACTGAATTGAATTTGCACATTTAATATTTTTTTTCCAAAATCTTATTGAAATAGTCCTTATTATCGATACAGAGGCCGAATCTATAGTTTTTAGGATTTTTGACTGTCTGTCCGTCTGTCTGTCTGGGAACGCATCACGAGAAACCCACTGGACAGATTTTGATGAAATTTGGTATGATGATAGTTGGTTATCTGGATCAACAATTAGGATACTTTATACTGCGGGAAAATATCTCATCTCTGAGAAATCTATACTAAAGTTTAAAACGTAACTAGGGACGAACCCGAGGGAAGCGAGGGTGAGTCGCTAGTATACATATATAGTCCTTCTAATCTAATCTTATGAATGTTGTATATTTTGTTTGTTTGAATGTTTTATATTTAGCAGTGAAGATAGTAAATGGGCCAGTGTTTAATATATTATACATTTTTTATCAAAATTTGTTAATATGAGATTTTAGTTTGCTAAGAGATTTAAAATATAGGTATATATTGTGTGTAGTTTCCAAAACGATATATTTGGTATCTAATTAAATATGTTTATTTTATTACTTATCTTTCAAAAATAATCAACAAATATCGTTGTATTACATCATTTATACCAATTGTTATGTTACATCGACAACATTTATAATCAACTATAAGAAAAGAGTAGACTTTCTTCCCCATTCATCTCATCCCGGTTCCGTTTCCGTCTTTTACTTCCCCCTAACAGTTTTCTATATCATAGACACACCTTTTACGCGCATAATTTTATACGTTTGATCACTCATCGATCGTGTCAAATTATCGTCTCACCGAACTTGGAAGGAATAGAGAGTGCACTTGTGTGGCCGTGGCCTAAATCGGTTTGAACTTTTGAAGGATTATTATACTATGTACTTTATTCCTTAAATCGTCAATATTTATTTAAAAAAAATGCTGATACTAACGAATTATTATTATTTAATAATTATTTGCGAGTTTAGAACGAAAAAGTTTATCTCTCGATAAATTTGGGGCTAAAGTCAGATGGAGAAGGTAGTATTGTCTTAAGTCACTGGCCTGAACTGGCTTGGATTCCTCTTGATTGAAGGCGAAAAATTATTTGTTTATAATTTGGTTTTAGTGTTCCGCAGACAGAAAAAACAAAATTTTGTACTATTCTGTCATGTTCGTCTGTCCGTTTGTTCGTGTTGAATATGTAATTAGTGTTTCTTTTTAAGAAGATCGTTTTGAAATCGCAAATATTCCAACTTCTGTCTTTAAAAATGAACTGTACTCACCCATTGAAAGGATAACCAGCGAAGGCGGCATCATATGGATGGTACACTGTGGGATACGGCCAGCTCGCCGCACTTGCTGCAAGATTCTCCTTCAATTCAATCCCGGCAGCCTGTTTTAAATAAAACATATTAAAATATGCAATATATTATCGGCCAACTAATATAAATGCGAAATACTTTCTTAGATTTATGCGAATATTTTACATCTATACATATAATTAAATTGTAACTAGGCCGAATCTGTACATTAAATATTTTTTGGAAAATCTTATTGAAATAAACATTATTATCGATACAGAGGCCGAATCTATAGTTTTTAAAATTTTTGTCTGTCTGTTACCGCATCACAGTAAAACCACTGGATAGCTAGAGCTGACCTCGGCACCACACCCAATACAATAAATAATAATAATAAAACCACTGGAGGGATTTTGATGAAATTTAGTATGGTGGTAGCTCGTTATCCGGGTCAACATATAGGATACTTTTTACCGCGGGAAAATATCTCATTTCTGAGAAAAAATACAAAAACTGAATTGTAAGAGTTTACTAATATGTAAAACCTAAGAATTTGGAATTTGGTTTATTATACTGTCACGGAATACTTCGTAGATGTCAATTTGTGGAACTAAAATCTGGTTGGGTGTCACGTAAGATAAATAGATAGTTATTGTGTTGCAATATTGTAAACAATAATTATTTTTAAAGAGCAACTGTTGAGTTTCTCGTCTGCTCTTCTCAGCAGAACTGCCTTCCGATCCGGTGGTAGACTCCTCACGGACTGACTATACTGACATTTAATTTAAATTTAAAATGTAAAATTGACGATTCAAAAGTGCTTGTAAAAGCCTATTTGAATAAAATATATTTTCATTTGATTTAGTCTGTAAGTTATTTTCTTAACAATTAGATTATTGTTAATAACCGTCTTCATATATTATAATACGTAACAAGTTTTATAAGCTTTTTTCCCAACAAAATTAGTTCTCCAAATCAATCGCATTAGATTTTTAATACCTTTTTTAAAGTTTACGGTAGCTTAAGTTAAATCTTCGGCTGAGTCTTATTGATTTTTTGATCGATGATCGGTGTCCCGGTTTAACTATTATTATTTAATGGGTGTAGATAGGTCGGCGCATCCATCATATTTGACAAATATATTTCAATATAGATTTTGATAGTTTATTTTTTCAATGTCTACATATGCTTAAACTGGTTTTGATTGTGTTTTTATTAAGTGTTATTGTGGAATTGAATTTAGGGAATTGTATGTGTGGAACATGTATTGTTTATAATAACCATACATATATGTACTTTAACGAGTGTATGGCTCATACATTTTTTCGGCCTTTAGATTGGTCACAAGAAGTACAGAATTAAAATGTACACAGTTTTGTTGCAATTTGTTAAATTTTTTTGTGTATGTCATTTAAAATTTCGAACTGATGTTTTTTTGTAACAGACCCAAAGATAGCCCTATACAAATAAAAAAATTGCATTTCTAATAGCAGAATAATTAATTTCAACGTGATTTTAAAGTCGGGGCATCTCTTTAGTTAAGTAATTATTCTATTACACGCAAGTTATAAAGCGTAACGCTGTAATAAATAATTTAAATATACCATGTAATTTTCTGACCAGTTATCGATTACACTAACTTATACTGTAGGAACAACACTATTATTCAACTGAGCGTCGAGAAGCGAAATGATCTTAATATTTTCTCTTAATATTTTGAATGCAGACATTAATAATGATGAATTCCATGTATACACAAGTTATTAATAGGAATCTTGAAAGTAAAAAGTAACAAGGGACGAACGTCGAAAAAAGTTTATGACAATTCATATAAAATAAGGCAGCAGCATCTTAATGTGGTCAGTCGGGATAAATCTATCAAACGATTTTGTTGTCCTACAACTTCATTGGTGGCCGATTCGAAAATCCTACAATAAATTTTACTCATGAACGACAGCGTAAGCCAGTCGCTCCGACGTTCTTTGTTGCTTTGGGCTCTGGTATAATTCCACATTTCTGCTCATCGCAATCGGTTTGCGGCAATTTATCCAGCTGTGGTAAATGCGAATTTGCTTTTTGTTTTGTTTGTATTAGTAAGGTTTGGTGGTTAAATTGGGGATGCTGGTTCTGTGCCTGTTTGTGACAATTTTTGAGAGCTTAGTTAGGATTGGGGCTGTCTATGATCTAAGTTATGATTATCAAGTATTATTGATGCGAAAGTTTTTATGTGAGTTATTTTTTTGTTGTATGTTAACTACTTTGGGTGATCAATTTTTTCAGGTGTTTTTCGGAAAAGATATAAAAGTTATGTTTTTACAGAAAATAGATAAACATAAAAAACAAGGCCTTATCTAAATACAAAATTTGATTCAAATCGTTACAGCCGTTTCTGAGATACATGAAATAAATTTATATATACAAGAATTTATCATTGTATACTATATAGTCTCATTGTAGACTATAAAATCTGACGGGGCAGCGCGACAGTTGGACTGCATAGTATGGCCTGGAGTAACATATAGGTCACACACGAGCGTAGTGAGGTTAAGTCTGTAGTATCACAATATAATTTATCATGCAACATTTTTTTGAAGTATAACTTGTTTAGAATCTTTGTGATTTGAAACTCGATGAAACGGAAATGCAACACAAAAAGAGACAAACGCATAAATATATAGGATTAAGCCGGCGAGAGAATGAGATAGAATATATTGCCATGTCCCATGGTAATCGTTGTTATTTTGAGATAGAATAAATTACACAGGAAGTGAAAAATAATAAAATTAATTACTGAATAATATGTAATGTATATTTGTGTCAAATAAAACGTAAAATAAATTTTAAACTGGGTAAAAAAAAATAAACCTTATAATTATCCTATTCCTGACACTCTATATTCATCTCATTCTCTGGTAGCTTACTTTTCTGAAGTTTCACTTCACAAACACGCATTTTTTTTGTTTCTTTTAATTTTAATGATTACAAGAAATAATGAAGTTTACGTGTTATTTCGTTCGTGTCAACTAACACTTTGTATTACACATACACCTTCACCCAAAGTAACGCATGACCGACGAATTAATAAAACTACGTGAGGCGTGATCGAAAAAACGCAGGTCGTAATCTTTATTAAGCAACATTATAACTTTAATGGATCCCGTCTATAATCCCATTAACATTAATAATATGTTCGTCTAGGAATATTTTTATAGGACGAATAGGTTTATAATCCGCTGAACGATTCCGCTGACACGCAAGCGGGACTTGCGAAGTGGTTAGGGCTCCCACATACCGTAGATAAAAAAAACTGTACAAATAAAAAATATTTATATTTCTTTTTTTTGTGATTTTGAACTGGCTTTCTTTTTTTTTATTGATTTCATAAAAGAAAAATAAATTAATTTTCATTTGCATGTCTGTTTGTCGTGACTTATATTGGAAATTATTGAACGACTAACAAAAAGTTTTTTAGAAACTTAAGAGATATATTAAATTACATAATATTATTATAATATAGTTAAAAAAAACACGTATATTACGTAAACACATACTTTTTTAACTCAACGCAGACGATTCAAATCGTATCTGTTGAGAGTATTCCATCACGTCAGTTATCTACGAAACCGATATTATACGAAGTGGACAATTAATCTATACATATAATAAAATTGTAACTAAGTCGAATCTGTACATTAAATATTTTTTGGAAAATCTAATTGAAATAGACATTATTATCGATACAGAGTCCGAATCTATAGATTTTAGAATTTTTGTCTGTCTGTCTGTCTGTTACCGCATCACGAGAAAACCACTCGACAGATTTTGATGAAATTCGGTATGATGATAGCTGATTATCCGGGTCAACATATTATAGAATACGTTTTACCGCGGGAAAATATCTCATTCCTGAAAAAAATATAAAAGCTGCATTGTAAGAGTATACTTATTAGTATACCAAAGGATTTGGTTTTTGGTCATTTAAACGCGGGCAGAGCCGCGGGCAATGTTAGATAATAATAAAATCATATTCATTTCATAAAACGAGTTATGAGTAAAAGAATTCTATTATGTATAGTTGATACAAACACAAAGCAATATTATTTAAAGGTAATATTACAACAAACCCTTTCATTTAATATCTACATATATCATGGTATCATGGGAGTGTATAAAAGAATATATTCCGCCATCTTTCGGAGTCCGCCATATTGGATTAAGAATGACGTCACTTATCTAACTATGTATTATCATCCAAACTAAACTTAAAGTTAAGCTCGATTGAGCTGAAATTTTGCACACACGTTTGTTTGAAAATAACTGCTTTAAAATTCAGTTGCAAGATTTGCTCCAAACTATTATACATTCATAACTTGTAAAAACTAGTGTATGTCTGACTGTCTGTAGGATACCTTATTGAAAAACAACTAAGCACATCACAAAGTAATTAAAAGTGTTGAGCGACGTCTCATAACATCAAAATTCCCACCTTAGATTCTATACATATTGACCCGTACGATTTTAAATATTAAGGGCTCGAGTGAAATATAACGTAATTAATTTTTTATACCGCACGCTACCACATTGGCTTCAGCAAATTATTTTCAACGATAAAGAAAGCATTAATATTCTATCCGTTGTTTCTCAAGCGTGAAACCTAACTTATAGTTGCACCTACGCCTATAACCTCTAGCCTATATCTATACGTATAATAAAATTCTGAGTCGAATCTGTACATTATTTTTTTTTGATAATATTATTGAAATAGTCATTATTATCGATACAGACGCCGAGTCTATAGTTTTTTAGATTTTTTGTTTGTCTGTCTGCTTGGGAACGCATCATGAGAAAGCCTGGACAGATTTTGATAAATTTTGGTATGATGATAGCTGGTTATCCGAGTCAACATATAGGGTACTTCTTACTCCGAGAAAACATTTTATCTCTGAGAAATCTATACTAAAGAGGGCTAGTCGCTAGTATAAAGTAACCAGATGAAGAAATATTCCTTTAAAATATAGTTTTTATGTACAGAAGTCTTTCGATCTATTTTGGTACCCATCAGATAGTATTTTATATGCACTCTAATAATAAA